CCAATGACTAAAATATTTTATTAGTTAATTACAAGAATTAAGAATTAACATCGAAGTGAAATCGGCCACAAAAATTTCAATATTATTCAAATACAGAATAAAGATATTTGTTACTTTGAATATTCAATCTTTAAATAAATTAGAGACTCGAGGTAAATAAAATTTGAAAGCCGTTCCACTGTAATTAACAATAAATACAATATCATTTGAATTTCCTTCTCCTCGCGGAATAATTACTGAATTGTTTGAATTTCTGGAGATAATACACAATCAATTATTACCCAATCTCTTGGACTTGGGAAACTTTTCGAGGATTTTCAACATAGGTTTATAAAGGAAATTCACAACATCTTTAGCAACAACGAAATCCTTATGATCGAATTTATCATATCCGATAACTTGATGATTCAGTTCAATATCGGAAGAGAGATCGTCTATTAAATTGTTAACATTTTTTGAATTGGCGATGGGGTCGTTCTGGCCTTGGAAAATAATTGTCGGTGCTTTGATATTAGTGACATTGTACTCCGGAGCTTGATCTTCCCCGTAAACCTCACGATTTCGTGTTCTCTTCGAATATTGGAAATGTTCGAATTTTCCTGCATTAGCAAATCATGAATTACACAATATTTTCATTTTTATTTTAATTAATATAATTAAAATGAATTTAATTACCTGAACGGATTAGTTGCCCGTAATGCTGGAATACCTTTGAAGAAGTCCCCGCAGGATAATGGCACATAAGCGTTACAAACTCTTCACTCTGCAATTAAAAAAAAATCCTGAATTATCCTCGAGTGTTCAATATCAAAATTTTGTATTTAATCACTTACCACATCAAATTCCTCTCGATCCGCACCCAATGCTAGCTCGAACGGATATCCACACAATCTCTTCGTTATAATATTAATTAAGCAGAAATAATAAATAAATGCGGGCACAAGTTTATTCTGGATTGGATATTTAACTAGTCCACCTGGAACGATGATCTTAAAAAATTCAGTAAGAAGATATAGATAAATTCTCGTAATGTCCCATCGCTTGAATTCATACACTGTGCCAAAATGAATCACTACTGATAATTTTGAATTATATTCTGGTTTATCAGACAGTAGCATAAGAATTATGGTGGAGCCAAGAGAGTGACCGACGTAGGACAGTTGTGGTTGGCCTGTGGCATTGATAATGTAATCGAAAAATGCTGGTAGATCTTGAAGTGCGTATTCGTCCAAACTGGAAGAAGAAAAAGAAGAAAAAGAAAAAGAAGAAAAAGAAGAAGAAGAAATAATGGATCTATAATAACCCCGTACTTGATCTCCGTATTTTATTTATAGCTATTAGAATTATTTAGATTAATTACCTGAAGTCCCAATATTTTTTATCGTGCGCTGACATGTTGGTGTGTCCACGACTGTAGTAAGTTCCCCGTAAATTACCGATCCACACATCATAGCCAGCATCAGATAGAGAATAAACTGATGATTCGAGTGATATACATTAATTTTTTAAGAGTTATTGGATTTTTATAAAAAATATCGAGAGAAATCGATAACGTGGTACAATCAATAATGCCCGACAACTTTTCGATAAAATAGAATATGAAAAATATTTCACCCAGACTTCTGTTCTGACCAAATAGAACCCAAAGATCGCCAGTCCCACCTAAAGCAGCTTGGAGATAAAATGGGCCTTTATTTTGGGTATTATTTTTGGCAGGATTCGGTGGGACTCGGAATAACGAGAGGATGTACCCATCCTTGGTGGTGACATTGTGCCACTCTGACTTGTACCCAGCTTTATCAGTCAAACCAATCTGTCGACAATGAAATTCACGATTTCAACAATTAAACATTTTCTACACACTTTCCACTAAAATTCACGGTTTTCCATTTTCCGACAAACTCACGATGGAATTGCTGTGAAAAAATATTTTCCTTTCCTCATTTTTTCTCATTTTTTTCTCATTTTTCCTCATTTTTTAATTACTCACGAAATTTCAAGGTGACATGACCATTTTCTCCATTTTTTATAAATTTTTGGAAACAACCAGAAAATTGTAAACATAAAAAAAACGCATAAAAATGTAATCATTTTATTGCACCACTACAAAACGTCGTGAGTAATTAAATAATTATATTTTATGTAAATCCCATCAGTAGGCTGTCAGAAAAATAGAGGAAGATGAAAATTTCGGGGAAATCCTGGATATCACGAGGAATATTTTTATTCGAGAAATTGACGTACAAAGTCCAAAGCATAAAACTTATCTCCACCCGCTTCCTCGTCCGTTCGAACGAATTTAATTTGTATATCAAACGCAGATGTCAATGGATACAACGAGAAAATCACCAGTACCGCGGGATAAATATATTTTTCCATTTTCGATTTCAAATATTTCCTATTTTAATCGAAATTCGAGGCACAGGTTCACTTCCTGAATGCGCTCACTCCGCGAAACTGTCGTTCTGAAATACTTAACGTTTTTCCTTATCAAAGTATAATTACGGTCTTTACAAAGGCATCGTCAGTATCGCTCGAGTCGTTAATTATTCGTGTCAAGTGTCATTACAAGTACGTAACAATAACTGCAACTAGAAAAACACACGGCAAATAACAACAAATCTATTTTTCCCCAATTTATTTGAATCCAGAGTTATTTTTTTATCATTAAATTGAAAAAACTTTTTATGTAAAATTGATAAGCAATATATAGTATAAATAAATACTCAAAGCGGATATATTTTACATAAATATAAATACTTAATAAAAAAATACATTTCAACAACAAATGGAAATTCCTTAAAAAAAAAATCTTATGTCAATAACAATTCACCGTTTTTATTGAAATTCAATTTGAAATGTTTTATTGAATGAGCCAAATTTTTGATTAATAAGTTTTAGGTGAAAATGGAAATGACTGGATGATGGCCATTTTGATTTTCAATAGCTAGCCAACACGTGTGCGGTAAAGTAAATAGATGTGCGGCCTCTATATTTTATTGTGTGTGAAGAAGGGATCTAGATATAACTGACGCCCCTAGATTTTCTTTCTCTTCTCTCTTCCTTTTTTTTTTTTCACTTCTTCACACGGGGGTGCGGCATTCAAAAAGCTTGGGAGGCCGTCACGCCTATCAGCTTTGTCGTTGCCGATACATCTGTCGATGTTCGCTGATCCACAGTTTTTTATTTCACTTGACGATCGATTACATCAGGTAAACAATAAATCAACCAATGCGCTATTTTCCAGCCAAAATAATTCTCCATACATGGATAATTGCAATAGTTATTACAGTTATAGTTCTTGTTCATAAATCTGTCACGATGCGGTAAATTAGGATGAGTCCATTTTTTTTTAGATCAGTGTTCACCCGATATCTCGAAATTGAAGGAGGATAATGATTTTTTTGTAGATACCTTTTTTGTGGGTCTCAACTTTTTCTACAAAAAATGTTTATATAAAAAATTCGCTATCTTCCTTCGATTCTCGGGTATCGACAAAAATTGCACTCGATAAAATGCACTTATATTAATTTCAATATTTTAAATTATTATATTTTTGAAATTCATTTTGACTGAGTTTATTTCGGAGTTCGTCGCGATGTAGATGAGGTATAATCTGAATTGAAGAGGATTTATGTTGAGTCAATTAAAATTATTATTTTTTTTTCGGAAATTTTCCAAGGTATGATTTTCTAACGAACATCAGTGATTTAAAAATATAAAAAAGTGGAAAAATATCGCGGGAAAAATTTGGGGAGACCTTTAGGGGCTCTTTGAGTTCCTCGTGGTTAAGATCTCACATATTCCCCTCTCGAGCCTGAGATTTGCAATTCATTTCTCTCCGCCCCTATTCCAACCCCCAAAAACTCCCCTGAATATACCACCAAGTGTGTGTTTTCCCGCTTCAGAAGCGGCTCCCCTTTGAAATGGATGCGCCCTTATACCCCCGTTCATAACACCAATCCCACAGTCGTTGCCTATTCCAACCTCAATGTATAATACGAGTGCATCCTCCCTCTCCTTTTATTTCATTCTTCTTACCCGAGATCTCACACGATTTTCGGGCGAAGGGAATGCGGTAGGTCACGGCCTCACACGAAATTTCAAAAGGAAGAGTGGAAACTCGCAAAAAGACAAGTTTTTTTCAATTCCCGGGAAGAACGGAATATTTCCCAAAAATTTCGCAATTTACCAACAAAAAAATAAATTCTCCACCTCAAAATTTAATTTGTTTTATCAATAAAAAATTTAAAAAAATACCATTTGCAAATGTCTGTATTATTTTTTGCATTCGTTTTTGAATCACGAATTGTTTCAAAAATTTGCATTGATTCTTGTTTATTTTCAGCTTTAATATATATATAATATATACATACAGTATATATGTATGGGACGTTATCTTATTTTTTTTAATGAAGGGATAAACGGATAAGATAATAATTTCCTGAGATGATCATCGAGACTCTCCGCGAAATGATTTTAGAGTTGTGAAAAGTTTTCGCGAGAGCGAATTCAACGAGTTCTAGAGTAAAAAAAAAGAGACACATTTTTTTTGTTGCTTTTTAGTCGATTTTTATTCGTTAGGAAATGATGTCGAGGATGCAGGTTACCTTGAAGGCCACCAAGCAAAATGAAAAAGAAAGACCTGAAAAGACGATGAGGGAGACCCGACCTCCTACTTCGGCAACACAATGGAGCACAAATGCGTGGCGACAGGAACGGCCAGATATACGGCAAGCTGATTGCTCGTTGTCGAGGTGCCCCAGGACAGTCCTTTAAAGTGCCATCTCATCAGCCTCCTTTCGTCATTAAATAAATTCCAAACGAAAAAAATATTTAAACAAAAAAAAATCACAAAAAACAACAATCAATAAAATAACACGTCATATCAATTTTCATATCCAATTTTATCTCTCATTTATCAACAAAAATATATACACGCACCTTAATATAATTCCAAGAGTATTAATTTTTCAGAAAAATTAAAATGTGTATGTACAATTAATCAACATATGCCATTTAAATTAATACATCACAATAATCATGATTGCGAAACATCCAGTCATTTTCTACAAGTATTTACAACAATAATTAGGCAGTGAAGAAGTCAAAAATTGAAATCGACGCATGAAAAAAAAAATTATGTGATGAAAAACGTTTAAATATCACCAATTGGTCCATATAATATAAAATACCGAATAATTTTTTTTACGACTTCACGCCACAATTATAAGCTATTGGTGTCTGTTACTCGTTATCCACCATCATTAATCAATGGAATCACTTGAATAACTAATTAAATAGCTTCATCTAATCAGGCGTTTCACTTCCGATTGTCCGACCACCGGACCCCCAAGGCCCCTATGAATATTCAAGGACATTAAATATCCCCGGAGAATTAAATTAATAATTACATAAAAAAAGTTCACTCATCATCATCATCATAATCGAGAAAACCGATTAGAACTATTTTCTTGATCTTTCCATAATTCTGGAATGAAAGTAGTGAAAGGCACGTGAGGAATATCCTATCTCTTGATGCCCTCGGCAAACGATCAATTCACTCATCGATAAATTAACGCGTCTATTGAACCTCGATTATCATTTAAAAGGTAGAAACCGATGAATCAGGGTTTTTTCAATGGACTCTACCACAGACCTGTGCGTCGATGGTACCCAGGTATGGATAACCACTCTTCGCCTCGGTGGGACTGTGAGGTGTCACGTGATGGCCCATTCCTGTTGCTCCCTGGACCATACATGCACTCATATTAGTGGAGCCAGTTGGTGAAACACTTCCACTCAGGCCCAGATTCAAGTTCGATGGGGAGAGATTTGTTGTTCCGTAAGGCGAACTGTTGAATAATCTGTAACACAAACGGAAACACAAATTGTTATTCTAAATGATGTGTCAAGAAGATTGAATAGAATATTCAAATGAATAGTCAAATGTTTAGAGAATAATTGGGTGAGATCGATCGTAATGTTGAGTATGAGAAATTATTTGGAGTCTGTGGAGTTGTATGAGTTCATCGGCTTTAAGTGATTTCTAATTTTGCGCAATTGCGCAAGTGATGAAATTGAAAATTTGAAATCAATTGAAATCAGCAATCATTGTGAAACGATATTTACAATTAAGTCAGTGGCAATGATGATCACTTTTTTAAAACGATAAATTTTTAGAGAGGATTTTATATTTCAATTCATATATAAAAGTCTCAAATAATTTCAGCTGAGGAATTCGAAGTCGGAAGAGCTCCACTTGATTATTAGCCAGTAGCGTTTCATTACGGTACGATGAGGAACATAATTGCGGACCACACGGGTGCTGCACACTTTGCCTCATCCTCTTGGTCCACCACATAACGCATCCACATGAGCGATACTGATCATCAAAGAGGAGTAAAAAAATTAGGAAAAAAAATGCTTTTCTCTAAACTCCTAGCCGCCACCCAACTTGAAGGCATTAGTAATCGCCTATTCCTCCACTCTTCAATCTTTTTGAACCCTTCAATTTAATACCTATTACTCAATTATTTTCTTTCCCATTTTTTCCACGATTGCGCTGTTGCGCTCCTCAAATTTCCCCACATTTTCACAGCTTTTCTGCGCTCGGAAAAATTTGACTTTATTTTTCGAAAAAGCACAAATGACATTCAATTTCCGGTCAATTCGTCGCTCTATTTTTTCAGGAGTAGAAATTCACTGAAGAACAATTGCCATTATTAAATAAATAGTCATCCTGTGCTGCCAAATTCATTTCCCTTTCCTCCGAAGTTTCTCTCCAATAGAGAAATCTCCATAATTTTTCCAACACAATAAAAAAAACTGCTCCCATTTCTTAATAAATAATTCGTTCTTCCGATTCTAGATTGAATCCATCGAATTTTCCGCGATCGAGAAAATCTGTTCCATTTTTTTATAGAATTTGGAGGTTTCCGTCAGTACCATTGTCCTTGATTTTGCGCACGAGTGAGATGATGAAAATGATAACTCATCTTGGTAGGAAATGCAAAAAAAAAAAAATGATTTGATAAAACTTTTCATTATAAATCACTTACCCATAGTTTTCAGGCGTAGCTCGAGGCCACTGCTGTTGCGCACTGTAGTAGTTATCTCCATAATTATAATGCTGAGTGTATCCCGCAGTGGTTGCTGCTACCGTCGCCTGTCCATATCCCTGATAGCCTTCAGTTGGTGCTGGATAGTGTTGAGTTGGAAATGACTGTAAACTCATTGTATTGAAGGCGTTGTGTTGGCTGTTGAGTTGCTTGCGCAGGCGAGCTCGCCTGTTACTGAACCACACCTGTACTCGGTTCTCTGTCAATTTAGTCCTTAAAAAAAAAAAGGAAAATCTTCCCTTAGCACTGATTCAAAATTGCACATCCGCCCCACACCAGGAGAAATTTATTTTAATATTCAATTCAAGTGACGTCTTCCTGTGAAAATATCTTTTTTTCAAAATCTCCGATTTATTTTTTAGATTTCTGATGAATTTCTGATCGAATTGATACAAAAATTTTATAGTTTTTGCATTTTATCATTATTTTATGGCTCATACAGTTTTAGGAGGGATCGCACCCTCCTAAGAGTTTCCTGGGATTTTCCCTGGGAGTTTCCTGGGAAACAAGGAAAATATCGAAAAAATTATAGTTACTTTTGTGCAAGTTCCTCTCTCGTGTAAACATCAGGATACTGCGTTCTGTGAAAAGCAGCCTCCAGCTGTTCCAGTTGCTCTCCCGTAAATGTAGTTCTACTTCTTCTTTGTTTTCGCTTCAAGACATACCCTGGCTCACTCTCGGTATCGGTGTCATCGCCACTACTTCCACCTGAAACCCCGAATAGAACCCCAAAATTTTAATTATATTATCAAAAAAACTAAAAATCGATCAATTAGAAAAATCTCTTCAATTTCCTCCTTCAAGGAAATAAATGATAATTTTTCAACTGATAAATGCAAAATGACGAAACTTATTTAATTAACAACATTCCAAAATATCCACCAGTTATTTCGATTCGAGACTAATTATCGAAATATTCATATTGTATTATTCCATAGAATAATTTTTCGACGTTCTAAATAAATATTCAATTCCCAAAAATCTTAAAAAAAAACATGTAGTTTTTTAATTTTGTCATTATTTAATGACTCATCGTGAATTTCGGGGGGAAAGGGTCACATTTAATTCCATACATGAGCAATAGTGCAATAATGTGCAGTGAATGTTCGCGTATTCGATATATTAATAGAGATGACTTCATTCTGTCTTTCGAAAAGGGTGTCTGGGTGATGCAAAATGAAAAGAAATTGCACGGTAATAAAAAAAATAGCGTGAGAGAGTGGACAACTACACAACATGGAATTTCAGCATCCAGCACGTGCTAGACGTCAGATACCAAAGATAGGAAGCGAAGTTGGTAACCGCCCACAGTTCACACGCCCGAGTCAGCAACCTACCATTAAATCCCACCCGTGATTACAGTCCGTTCGGAGGTCTTGAAGGCAACCCTCAACCTATACTAAACTAAAACACCGGAGAAATTAGGAGGGACGAGGGGGAGGAGGACAACGGGAATTAAGTTCTTTGACATGAACGTATATCCAGCGGCGATTTTTCGGCTCCTACACGCCGTCTTACACAGCATCTTTCGTATTCAATTTGCTGCCCCCTGTAAACGGCGCAAAACAATAAGAGGAATTCTTAAAACAGAGCAATTTATTGCTTTCTCAATAATTCCATGGTTACTTGAATGTTCGAGCTTATCGATCCATAGGCTGATGGAAGATAACATAACGGCCCTTTAATGAAAGATCGTAATGACCATTTCACAACCGCTAATTATAATTTGAGACCGACAAAATTTTTGTAGAGATGTTTCTTGTAGAGTGCAATGAGATTTACAAAAAAGATTACGAGCAAAAATGCGGGATGTCTGTTGGGTTTTGGGATATTGGGAGAAAACGAGTTCTACTGAAAAATATTTTCTTCAAAAAATGAAAATTCTCGTAATTCCCGGAAAAATGTAGTATTTCATGATTTTTAAAGCGTAAATCACATGGCGTAATTTACGTAACTCATCCCGTACATTCCGCGATTGATATAGTTTCCTTTTTTGGACATAACAATTTCGAGAGCGTAAATGGTGTTTTGAAATGTCGTGCTTTACAGAAACATTTCTTCGGTGATTTCAATAAAAAAAAATATGAAAAATGAGTGTTCAAATGTTGGAGTGAAGATTCAAATAAATGTCTAAATCAATGAATGCAGGGGCACCTGTTGTGGATGGACTAGTGGAAGTAAGGCAAGTACGTAAAAAGCTATTTTGAGGGCATGAGGGAGTTGAGTTGAGAGTTGGGTGGATGCGGTTCGCCGAGATTAAAGGCCTCTGGGTTTGCTCGTAAATCCTCAGCGACGCATCCTCCGGGGGCAACACCAAACGATTCCGTAGAAGCCTGACGATTTCCGCGACGACCCATCAACGACCCATCAACGTGTACATACCTTCAATTTTTCCTCTTTATAACTTTTTCCAGATTATTAGTTTTTTTTTTTACACTTTCATCCTTTTGTTTTTGAGGCGATAAATCGCAGAAATGCGCTCTCGATTTTTCTCTTGAGTCACAATGAACGGTGATAAATCTGAGAAATGCTCAGGCATTTGTAATGTACAGTCGTCGGTCCGGTCTTTGATGGCATCACAATTTGTTGAAATAGGGAACAACATTCGGTGGGATAATGCTTTTTTTTTATCGCTTCATAGAAACATAAACTTAGTGTCGGCTCATTTAAAATTTGCAGAATCCATCTTCACATAAAATTTTATTCCAGAAATAATAAATGCTCGGAATCTGTAGTCGATAGCCCATTGATATGTTTATAACAAGTGAATCCAACCCATTCAGACGAAAAACTAATTAATACCGCAAATAATGATTAACGTTTACAAAATGACAATTATTTTTATTTATTACGATTAAAAATTCATACCATGAAAATTCAAGAGTGAAATCCTAAACTAGATTGAATCGTAATGATTTCAAAAGAGCAAATTACATTTTAAAATCTTAAGTGGAGACTTGAGGCTAGACTTTCTGAGAGGAATATATTTTCACCCGAGTTTTCTTGAATTCAAAGAAAAATTATGGGAGTATGAGATTGAATGGTAAAATTACGAACGATTTGATTTTGCTGAGAGAAAGGTGAAAAAGTTCTTCTGGCTGTTGCACCATTCGAGGAGGCATTCCACTCAAAGATTAGTATTGAGAGAGCCCGAGAGAGGAAACTGCCGAGGGACCACACGCAGCGATACATTAGTTCCCTTGCACTCGGATCATCTAACACACCTATTCGCCCACATCACTACAAAAAAAATGTATTCCGTACGGTTTCCCTCGATTTCTTATTCGCAAATTGTTTTTTCGTACTTCGGAAACTCGAAAAATGGAACATCATTACAGAAAATCCCATCCTGCCGGTCGCCATGAGGATTTTATCACTTGAGCGATTATCCACTCTTTACTTTCGACTTGTGCCCTAGTCTCAGAATAGTAAAAAATTCCCCGTAACTATTTCTTCACTAAAAACAACAAATTAAATTTAAACTCTATTAACTTCAAACATGTTTACTGGAATTATTCTATCTGGAATCTATTTTGAATTCTTAAATTTCCAATCCAATCGTTTTGTTCAACATTATTATTAAAATTACTTCATTATTTTTCAGTCATTCAACAGTTTCTTCAGAAAAATATCCGTTTGCTTCGAGAGCAGTAAAAAATTTTCCCCCAATTCTCCGATCTCAAAATCCAATTTTATTTTCCGTTTCTCATGTTTGTCATTAGAAATAATTTATTTATTATTAATCAATTTTATTATTCTGAATCTGATGAAAGTATAATACATCTGGTGTGAATTTTCTCTCTTGAGAATAAGAACACGACGCATAGAGATAATAAAGAGCACACCAGGGTGCCCAATATATTTTATCCTCATCGCTGAAGTGAGAAAAAGAGTTGTTTCAACCTTTTTGTGTGTTCCAATAAATAAAACCACTCTCGGTGTGCCTTTGGGAATACACCGCCGGTATCTTTATAATGCTGTATGCATTTCTTGCCTCTCAGAACGTCGTATGAAAAAAATCGAAAGAGGATCGGCACTAATTTGGCAATGCTCATTTGTCGTGATAATTTTTTTGATTTTTTCGCCAACTGCGATCGTATTTTTTACGCAAACATTTTATGGCTTGTATATTAAGGATTGGAGACTTACCGAGAATTCCGTTGATCGAGTGATTGGCTCGAGCGTCATCACCAGATCTGGAGGGATTTCCGGATCCTCTCAGGAGTCGGTTGATGCTGGATGATGATGGGACTGTCGTTTTGTCGCAAAGACCCTCCTGCTGGCAAATGCACAAACAAAACGGCAAGTTAATACAATGACTCGATAATTTTCAACGATTTTTTAGCGAAATCAACGACATCAACGAAAATATTTCAACAATTCCGATTAACAAGCTCACGAAATCGTAATTAACAGAGATTATTAGGATAATTTTAATTTACAAAATGTTCGACTGCTTGTAGAATAACTAGAGGACCGTGTCCTATCAGTCAAATAAATTTTATCAAAATGTTTCATCAACAGACCTTTATCAATTGCGTTCGGATCTCCCAATCCACAAGACCAGGATTTTCCCTCTTCAACTTCTCAATCCTCGCTTCAACTTCTGGTGTAGCAACTCTGGGTTTGCTCCCTCCAATGACACCTGGCCTGATTGACCCAGTCTCGTGAAATCTGTTCAAAATTTTAGAGACACACCCATGAGAAACTTTGAGTTGTCTCGAAATCATACAGGGGCGGACACCAGCTGATGCCAGCCTCACGATTTCCGATCGCACGTGATTGGGCAGGGGTCGGCCATTTATAAAAACACCACCGAGCTGATTCACCCTTCCTTGACCTAGAACAAACCAAAAAAAAACATTTTTTAATCACAACCGGAGCCAATTGACAGTTGCACACTCCACACACGAGCAACAATTTCTTTCCAAAATCACGATACCAGATATAAACCTATAAGTGATTAAAAAAATTCAACAGATAAGAGGGGATGATGGGTTAAGGGATGATAAATAACCCCCCGTGTTCTAAATTGAAAATATAATTGTTTAGTCACGATTCCTCAAATATCAGAGGCATTTCTATTTTTTTGTGTGGTTAAGCTAACAACACGCAAGGTGCCCCTCAATTATCAGTAATGAGGTTACCTTTAATTAACTTGATTATAATTACAAATCTACGTGGGACATATTATGCGGTTTGATGGGCTGTCTGGGTTAAAAACAAAATGAATGTGAGGACATGTACAGAATGGTATGGTGATCGCGTGCTGCGGAAAGAGACACCGGGTTTATTCATGTGCGGCTTTGAGGGATGGACGTACAATCCTTTTCGAGTTATACGGCCTTCGTGGTTTTGCCACGAGTTGTAAACCAACTCCCTTCTTTTTACAAGCCTCCGGGTTGTGGCATTATGTACACGTAATATTTAATTTACTTTTTCAAGCCTATTCAGCATTCCGAGGGCTCAAATTAACAATTAAAACAACATTTCGCATTGACGTTTGAATAATTTATTTCGAAACAATGATCTACTTTAAAATATTAAACGATGCATTCTCTTAATTTTTTTGATATTTTGAAATTTTGTTTTTATTGTGCGGAGCCTTTTCGGTGATTTTTAAGTCATCGATTTGTTGCCAAATCCCGGAAAGATGTTGACGGATAAATTACTGACAGAATACAAAGAAATATTTCCATCCCAATTCATGTATAGTCTATGTAATTGAATAAACTTAATATTAATTGAATTAATCAATTCGCATAATTGGAATATTTATTGATAAGTATGAGAGTGGAGATATGGGATGATGAGTTCATGGAGATTTAAGAAACGAGAAATTTCCTGGGACATGATTCTGATTTCTCAATTTGAAAAGATCACAGTATCCAAAATAAATATCAATTAATGTCGAGAATGATCGGTTTGTTTTGCTAAAACCGATCATTACACGAATCTAACATCGAAAAGAATAATCTCTCCCCACCTGTCAGGTCAATTTGGCTTTTAAAGTTGGTCGCGTTCGCGCCTGCGCGCTGAGCATGAGAGGCCCCAGCGAGTGGGAGAGGGTGGAGGGAGGGCTGTGGGGTCCATAGCCCGTCGGTCTAGTGTGTCGGCGTTCTTTTGATCTTGCCTGTAATCCCGTCGGGCCCTCGGGCCTGACTGACGTCATACCAAGAGGTGTCCGTCGTGGTTTAACATGTACAAGACCTCCACGCATACATCTCGAACCACTTCTCCTGCCCGGTTCTCGCTCTTTTTTATTTTTAGTGAATCAAGGGGGCCTCATTCTTAGGTGGAAAGGAGAGGAACTGAAAAATAAAGAGGAGGGGGAAGAAAAATTCAAAAGCCAAGAGGGGAAAAATATTATTGGAGAAGTTGTGAGATTAAAAAAATGAGCAGGGGACTCTTGTCGGATGTTGACGATGACGGTCAGCTTCTTTTGATAAAATACAGGGGACGCTAAGGCTATTGAGAAAACAATGACTCTTTATCGCATTCAATTACTGGCGGGACTCGTAAAATATGAGGTATGACAGGCATTGGATAACAAAGGATTTAAAGTGCTCGGGATTATTTGTTGGCTTTGTTTAAATATTTTATTTTTCGTTTCAGATCACTTTTCTTATGGTATGATCATCTTATTCGGTTATTTGAATTGGGCAATCGAAAAAATGCGTTTTCTCATTTTATGATTCACGATAATAAAGAATATCGGTAATTCACGGAATATCGAGCGGACATTTGTAATTTTCCCATTGTTAGGAATAAAAAGAAAAGAATATTGTGGAACGAGAATTGAGATGTTTAACGCGAAAATCAGTCAAAATTGTAAAGAGATTATTGCGGTGTAATTACAAATAATATAAACATTTAATTTCCTGTATTCTTAAAAAATAATTACATCCTTGAAAAATCGTCACGATAATTTCGTAATTTGTCTGTGAGACTCAATTCTCTCTTCACCATTTCATTTTTCTCCCTCATGTGAATTATTTTCTTCCTCTAAATTTCCATTCTCCATACGACTCACTCTCACTTTTTTCTTCTATCAGTAGCTACCCGGGTAAAAAAAAAATAGTAATCGGGATAAAAAATTGGGAAACAAATCAATTGTATCTTTGCGAAATGTTTTGAAAAATTTTTCAAAAATTTGTTTCGGAAATTTTTTTTATATATAATAATAATTTTCTAGAAATTTTTGCAAATATAATTTTTTCCTTTTTGATTTTTTAATATTCTCAAAAAAAAAAACGGCATTTAAATTGTTTTTTAAAAAATCCTATTCAACTTCCTGAAAAATTTTTCAAAACCTTTCCGAAAAATAAAATCGTTTTCCGATTTTTTTTGTGTTTCATAAAAAAAAATTTCCGAAAAATTTCCCAGAAATATTTTTAAAATTTTGAAAAAATATTCCGATTACAATTTTTTTTTACCCGGGTATACACTCGATCTATGAAAAACCGTTGCGATCGTTCTAATTTCGGTAATTCCATTTTGATTTGAATTCACGAGGATTGCTATGAATTCCCAGATGAATCCTTTATGATTTTATTCAAGATAAGTCTCCAGGAAACGGAACGGATGTTATGGAAGTAGAATATCTTCATGATGAATAGAATTATGTTTTACGATAGCGTCGGGTATGCATGGGGCGTTAAAACATGAGGTTACGGTGTAGAAATAAAAGTGGAAATGTATAAGAGAGGCCGTCTAATGTCTGATATCGGATAGGCCTGGGGCGACGGCGAGGATGATTGAAGCCCTCCACCAGGGCGACTTCAACTTGGATTACCCTGACGAGATGACTCGCGATGCACCATAAACCTCCCACCCATCCACCGGAGAAATTCAAAACATATACTAAACTCTTCAGCAATTGATTCCGGGATTGATCCCGCGTAATAGAAACGCATTATTGATTCCAGTTCCATCAATAACCGATCGGCAAACTGAACATTTCAAAATATTTATTCTTTAACGGATAAATCAATCAGCCCTGATAAATGGATACATAATCCATGCTTGAAATTAATTTTAAATAAATTAATAAGCGTGCAACGCTTCCGTGGTTTCCAGTTATAATACGGGTCGTCATGCATTAAATCCTGTACAAGAAAAATGATGAAAAAAATAAATCACTTGAAAAATTGATGAATAATAGAGCGAAAAATAATTATTTGTTTTATATCTTAATAATAAATCGGATGACATGAATTAACGAATATTGTTTGCAGACAGAAATTTATTTAAGAGGAAAACTCCGTTTATAGTATATTACATTAAAAAATTAGGAATTGATGATAAAATCGTGGATCATCATTAATCATTATGACAAGTAAATGAAGATAAAAAATCCGTGTAATTTGACATTAAAATGGACTTGAGATATCATGATCAATGAAATGAGAGGTCTATCGACCGGCCTAGTAACGGTTAATTAATTAAATAATTTTGATTGCTCAATTTTGCATTGATGATATTAATTCTGATGGACTTACCTTGGAATGGATATCCAGCGAAGTAAGGTGCCATGTTGAAAGTACTGACAGCCATGAATGAGACTCTCTCAATTTATCACTGTCTCTACTCTCTTTACGAGTATTAAATACCAGATATAAAAAGAAAAATTAAAAAAAATCTTCAATAATCACAAAAACAGTTTATAATTAATTCACTGGTTGTCACAAACTCGAGGAACTGTGGAAATAATTTTCACCGATTTCTTGATGTTATTTTTTTTTTTTTAATGGATACAACGAGGTAAAACACGCCTGAGAATTTGAGTGACAGCGGACCTGTTGGACCGTCGGTGTCTCGACTCCAACTGTTGAGCTAAATCGTTAAGTCGGATGTTTCGTTGGGGATGCCGGAGGGAGAGAGAGTGATGCCGACACCAATGACTTTAAAAAGTAACTCCGCCTCCTTCGGGCTCAACCGTCCAGACAAGTTGAAAGAAAATCCAAGGAGATCCACGCGACCACCGCCAACGGTGAGGATTTTTATTGGCTGAGCAAACGCGATCGTTGCTCCGCCCTCAGACTGCCTCTTCCATTTACTCCCACGCGCCTTCATTTCTCCATTACTGGACCGGTCAGTATTGTTTTTCCCTGATTTTTTTAAATCATTAATTCATTTTTATAAATTCGGGAATTTTATTTTTATAATTATCGGGGAGACATTAAATTATTGGGGTGAAATGGAATTGTGAAAATTCGTTACTTGTGGGGAAAAATTAATAATGGAATCGAGTGGATTTTAGAGATTGTTTAAATTTTATTCGTAATTCGTATGGAATCGTGGCAAAATCAATTTTATAATTAAAATGGAAGAGGCGAGGACTGAGGGTGAAATAGAATTGATTTGTTTTTTTTTTCGTGCTCACACGGAAAATTTATTGGACAATTGAGGGATTGAGGATATTTTATGTTTTTTTTTTTGCATTTTCAAGGAATTTTTGCTATTATTGATTTTGGAGTGGGGGGTTGAGAAAAAAATTTCAGGTAGTGATGATTTTGAAGTTTCAATTACTTGAAAATTCTCCACAACTTGTACTTGAAATCCGCGAAAATTTTGTGGATCTTAAGATTTAATAAATTCCTTCTCAACTGGAATAAAAATGGGATTAAGCCAATAATTATTTTACCAACAATAAATCAGTGGCCAAGTGATAATTAAGATAATCAAATTTTTTTCGATTCCAGTTTTGAGTCGATATCTCGGAACAGAAGCAGCATATCGATTTTTTCGCATAAACATTTTCCATAGAAAAAGATTCTACCTACAAAAAAGGTCCTTTTGAAAATATCATAATCTCCCATAAATTTCGAGGAATCAGGTAAAAACTATGGCCTGGAAAAAAATCACTCATCCTATTTTACCACTTCACAACCAAAATCAGTCACTGCGACTTAATTGGATATTTTAATAACAAAAAATAATTTTTTTATCGTTCCTTCTTCTAAGATAATAATTCGAAAAACATTGTGATTCGTTACGGTAAACCTATCAATTAACAATTACAACTCAAGAGAAAAATGTTGAAACATACACAATAGACTAGAAATCCGGTCATGAATAGATGGTATAATAAATAACTAGGCATTTCGATGTTTTGTCGTCACGTGGCGTGTTCCCCTGGTTTTCGCCCTGTAAGAGCGATGAGTGAACATTGGAATCACGTGTCGTGATTGTAGTTTATGGGTAGCTGATTGGCTGAGCGTGGGACGGGTTTGCGGACGATTCATCAGAAAGGGAAGTAGGAGCTAAATAAAGAGAAACCAGAGATTAAGAATGGAAAATGGGGCTAGAGTAGGGGAACTTGACTATTTCTGTATCCACACCCTGATCCTAGTTTTCATTTCGTAATTGTCAATACCCATGACATCATACTACAATAATTACAACTTTTATTTAATTTTTTGCCTGAAATTATAACCCCCGGGTAAAAAAAAATTGTAATCGGAATATTGTTTCCGAATTTTCAAAAAATTTGTGGAAAACTTTTCAGAAAATTTTTTTTATAATTTCTATGTCCTTTTTTTTGGGAATATTGAAAAATAAAAAAAGTAATAAAACAAGAGTATAAGTAAAAAAAAAAAATTATATTCACAAAAATTTCTAGAATATTATAAAAAAAAATGTCCGAAACAAATTTTTCAAAAAATTTTCAAAACATTTTCTTGTTTTTTTTTGTTTCAAGAGAAAAATTCTCTGAAAAGTTTTCCAGAAATTTTTTGAAAATTTGGAGAAAATATTCCGATTACATTTTTTTTTCGGGTGCACATCCTAGTCCGCCTAAAAATCGAAACAAACTTCTAAGTCCCGATTTCACTGAATCTTCATTAACATTCGTGTCGACTTAAAATTTTCTCAACATCATATTAACACATGAATATTTCCTTATATTTCATAAAAATCCTATTGTTCAAAGGAGGAAGAAAATATAGAGGCATAATTCATCCACAATTTGGGCATTATCTGCTTTAATCTATGAGAAGATAAATCCGGTGTAATCGATTTAATGAAATTGATAGTATGATTGAAACTCTGCACCCAAAATTGCACAATCCATCAAAAAATTTCCCTTAAAAATGCCCAACCACTCCTCCCGATGTTTCCACCCTCCACGTTACAATAAATTATTTTCATTCATCCCCAGCAACTATTCAACATCAACAACTCCCAGGAGTGAATTTCATCATCTCGAACGTCTCAATTCTATTCTCATTCTACTAACCCAAAGAGTCACAAGCAAATTTCTCCGTCAACGTCTTCACAAAAATCCTAGTCCCACTGGCATAGAGTGATCAATTGGCCCCCTAGGTAAATGGTTGGGAGGTCTCGGGTCAGTAATCTGTAAAAAAAAAAATCCTCCAAAGTATCTAGTGGAGTTTATTGGCCAATTCTACTGGTGTTGGCATACCCACTGGTAAATTCACTGAGGCCTGAGTGAATGTTTTGGGACTTACACCCATGGGACACGAAACATTTGTGCTTCCCCTCTTTTCAATTATCCAAAAGGGTGAACCTAACAGCGAAGTCAAATTGCGATTTTCGAGTGGGAGGGCAGAGAGTTGTCACCTGGAGGCGTTCGAGTCAAACATCCCACAGGACCATGGGACAAGACTTCAACCTAATTGTTCACCATTGAATGTGTTTTCTCTTCCGTGTTATAGGGCGTTGAATTTTTTTTTCTTCATTGAATAACAAAAGGGGAGGAGAGGGATGCATTTACAAGCAATTCGTTTGAATGTATTGTGATGACTATTACTCATGCATTGACGTATTTTGACAAGTTTGTCGAGGTAGACACTGACGAGAGTTTACCCACCTACTGAGCAAGAACAATTTATTGGTGAAGGAGTTGGACTGATGTCCACTCTGCACGTCTTTGGGAAATTATGATGATTCATTTTTTAATTTTTATCTCACATTCCTTCGACCTGGTGAAGGTGGAACGATTGATCAAGACTTTAGATCTTTGGATCTGATCACTATGTCCGTTCCATTCGGAATATTAACTTGTAAATAATTGTATCAACTAAGTTTTTACTGCGCCAGTCCAGTAAATGGAATTACAAACTATTCTTGAGATATTTTAGAGAAACTCCTTGACCGAATGAAAAAAAATGATAAAAAACACAAAATTAAAAAATCGAAAAAATGAAAAAATGAAAAAAATAAATTTAAAATATTTAAAAATATTTAGATCTTGAAGAAGGTACGACCGGAAGAAAATACTTCAGGCTTTTCCAACGATATTACCAATAAACTAAAAAATTCAAAGATCCAAATAAAACCATTCAAAAAATTCCCCGTAATACCACATATTCCATCACAATTCGCTATCACTAACGCAATCGAATATTCAATGAATCAATTATTTTTCCTCATTACCGAGGAACCTCCGTTGATTTTCAGCGAAGGGAATAGTATTAAATAAAAAGGCGTAAATGCATAAGTACAGGGGCAAAACGAATTCAAAGGTATAACGTATTCGTAGCCGGAAATTTCTGTGGCTATTCAGCGGAAACAGTTTCAAGTTTATCTTCATTCCTTCGTTCGCTGCAATTTTACATTTATTAAGACTTTAAGGCATGGTCAATAGCTCATGTTGAAAAGGAAGAAGTGGGGGAGGAGGGGGTTGAAGTTAGAGAGGGTCGCCTACGGTTAATTGTCGGGGCATTTAATGAGCACTCTTTGACGCGCCGCAGCAACACAACGCACGCAGGAGAGGAAGTTGAAACTCTTTACCTCTCTCACCTTCTCATGCATCTAGGTAATAGCCTTTCCGCCTTCCCCGCTCTTCACGCCATTCTACAAACGGTTTTCTCAAACGTTTCACGCACACGCAGAGCTGAAACACAGGTAGATGCCCGTGCCCCTTTCCCAGGTGGATATGGGCTCGTAAAAATCTGTATATTCTCAAATGCTATTGCGTGAAACCGAGTGATTGAGGTGTTCGAAGCTTTTATCATTTATTTTTATCATTTTCCTTATTGTTTTTTTCAATGGAAGTTGAAATGCTCGGTTCTGCTAGGTTTGGATGAATAAAATTGATTAACCAATAATTTACTAATTATTAGATAAAAAATTAAATAATTTTGTATTTTTAAAGATTTACCGGGGATTTTCACGGGGATTTTCGCAGCTATTTTTTATGCCCTTTATTCATTATTTTGATTTTAGTCTTCGTGTTCTTCTGTTGGTGAACTACTGTCTTCATGTTGCATCAGTACAATGGATAACTCGTTAGTATTTCGACGAGTTTTCCTGTAGCGGTGGGAAAAGTGTGGAAAACAGAAAAACCGGAATTAAATAGCCTCGACCTTTTTTGTGCCCTTCGTGAACTAAAATTTGGGGCCCTAAATGCCATTGATCGTGGTCTCTCTGTATTTGCATTGTGCTGGCCCGTGTTCGAAGCCACTCAAATTATTGTCACGACAATGGTGTCGGCTCACATCACAGGTAAAAATTGACCACCGCCATTTTGATACAATGCCGACAAAGCCACACCGCCATTTTGATTTAGTGACCGCAATTGTCAATAGGGTGATTGTTATGTACAACAGAAGTCATTTCGTATCCTTTCCGGGGGGCATAATAGGGAGTTATGTTTGAAATACCACCATGAGTCCTTTGACCAGTGTGGGAAAAAAAATCAGGTTGCGAAGGTGAAAGGTGTAGGTGAAGTGACCTGTCGGTTGGAAGGTTTATGGTCAAATTCATGCCAGATATCTGAGATTACAGGGGAGATTGCTAGCGCCTGTACAAAACCTTCAACATTAAATCAGAGGTGACTGTGAATAAGGCAGGACGTGATGACGAGACCATCGATAATTGAAAAATTAAAAGAGTGTCAATAAGGCAGATCGCGAGGCCGATTTTCAAAGATCGATTTGAAGCTCAAAATGTGTTAGGCCCAAATTTTTCCACCTGTCAGGCACCCGACCGGCCAGAAAAAAGATCGGGCCCCCTCAGGTCCCCTCAGGCCACCAGGTTAAATTCTAGTTAAATTTTGGAATAGAACTTAGTCGGTCAAGTATCGTCGGATAATAATCACTCAAGTATTTTCGTCAACAGTAAAAACTCTTGGAAATATGTGTATACGTAAAAAACCTTAAAATAACTGGGATTTTGCAAGAATTTATAAAGCACACTTATTATCATAATTTCTATTGAATAATAATTTACTTTTAGATTGCCCCCCGTGACGAGGAAAAAGCGATGGCGCTGCTATTCTCGTAACCTAGCGGTACGTCTAAAAATTACACGACGTTAACTCGATCGTTGATCCAAACATGGCCACATAACACTACAAACTCGACTAATCCCCTTCTAAATCGAAAACTCTCATCAGTCTTTGTTCAAAGTACATCGGAATAAATTATTCCCCGTTAATAATATCGTGGCATTAATTTTTTGTCACTTTTAGTTTGTTGTTACGACGACAAAGAAAGTGCCAGTGGAATGTTGAGTTGTGATAAGGGGGGATGAATGAAAAGTGATGGAGTGCATATGTTTGATGTTTTAAGTGAAGTTATTGAAATTTATATTGTTATTGAGGAATAGATTAATTGTTGCTCAGCTTGTTATAAAATGGAGGACGCACGCGATTCGCAGGTCCAGTCGCGTACAAATGTAACAAAAACACTTTATGAGTTGAGTGTTATTTCAGTAGCTAGGAAATTCATGAGACATAAAAAATGTCTTACATATTTACCCGACAATGTTCTCTTCGACGTATGTCATCAGGTATTTGTTTTTCTTTTAAATCTAGAGATTGTAAAGATTATGATTAATCCTTAAGGATTTTTAGTATTCGTCGAGATTATTGATAGAGACATTGATAATCGGTCATCAATTTTTATTTGACCTTTTCAGACAACGTTTCATATTTATTTGAGCAATTAGCATTCTTCAATAATTTTATTATCATTACTGATTGGATTTTACGTCATCTGAGACGTGAAAATTACTTCAGCTTCAATAAAATGTAAAATAATATATAATAATAGAATCCAACTGTTTTGGATGTGACTCAGCATCCATCTAATCGTTTTATTTATAATTCACTTGAATTCTTTACACAATGGATTTGATTATTTTGTCTGGGTCGATGGATCGAATAGGTCAACAGGAATTTTTATGAAAAAATTATGTTTATATTGTTAATAGTTTCAAGAAATTTGGAAAATGGTGTACATTGTTTGGATTTTTTTTTTTTGTTCAGCTTTATAAGGAGAAAAGACTCTGCGCGCTAGCTTGTGAGTTCAGTGACATGGATGCATTCTCGAAAATGCTCAAAGTCCGGAATAGGACGATCGACTTGTTGCAGATGTTTCAAGTGAGTTTCAATTGAGCCAATTCGATTAAATAATTATGAGAAATGCCAATTTTCCGCATCGATGCACATAAATTACTCTAATTCCACCTGTGAAAATATTGTAACTCTTTCTTCAGTGATTATTAATAAATATATTTTTAACGATATGCATATTCACAATGAAAGGAGGAAATTAAATGAGAATACAATATTTCGTTGATATGGCCCATGACCTTCACCTAAACTAACAACTCGGCGGTGGCTAAGTGGAAGGCTTTGGCGTTATCTATTTCAATCTGATTTTATCTCTTTTGCGTGAAAAACTAGCTCTCCAACTTTTCCCTGCATATATTGTTTATTCCCTCTGATATTTGCTTGCTTCCGAAATTACCTAATTCTAACTAACAAAGATTCCACTTTTGATTTTTCCAGTCTCTCATGGATCATGGCACAAAAATAGCGAAAGACCTGGCGCTTAGTTACAGTATATGCTGCCTAGAACTGGGAATGAAGTCGTACGCTAAGAAGAAGGTGATAAATTTCGGTATTCGGCTTGGAAATTTTTTGAGTGACTGCGGCTGGTATTCGGAAAGTGAGAAGGTCCTAAATGCCTGTAAAAATCTCTGTACAATGCCCACATCTCAGGAACTTGAGACACACGAGATGCTGAGTCTTACTTTGGATTGTTGTCACAAATTGTTGCGTGCTCAGGCAGCGTACTGTGCCTTCAAAGGGGCTGCCGAGACGTACGAATTAGCTCTAGCCACAGTGAAAAAATTGAAAGTAACTGGCTGCAAGATTTGCAGTCTTGCAGCGCTTTACGCCGGATTCAGTGTATTATTTTTCATAAGAAGTGAGTATGATCAAGCTTACAGATGGAGTGTAGCAGCTCTCGAAGAGCTTGGACCAACGTTGCCAGCTCGTGTTACAATAGATGTCCTCAGACAAGCAGCTAAATCTTGTGTGGTCAAACGAGAATTCCAAAAGGCTGGATTGCTCATTCGACAAGCAGTTTATCTAGCTCGCGAAGTCTTTGACACTGATCACCCAAAGTACTCCGATGTTCTCATAGATTATGGATTCTATTTGTTGAACTCTGACAGCATTATTAACAGTGTCTCTGTCTATAAGACTGCACTAGAAATAAGAAAAACAATCTTTGGAAAATCGAACTTACATGTCGCAATAGCACACGAGGATCTAGCATATGCTCTATACGTTCAAGACTACAGCTCCGGTAGATTTACACCAGCCAACGATCACGCGAGCAAAGCCATCGAAATAATGGAGAGATTATTACCCGGTGAACATCTCATGTTGGCGAGTGCTAAACGAGTCAAGGCCCTCATCTTGGAGGAAATTGCTCTCGACAATGCTCCAACAACTGAGGAAGATTTGTTAGTGAAATCGGAGGATTTGCACTTATCTGCTCTGCAACTGGCACAAACCGCATTTGGTGAACGCAATGTACAGACTGCCAAGCACTACGGCAATTTGGGAAGATTGTATCAGAGCATGAGGAGATACGATGAAGCTGAAATGATGCATTTGAAAGCTATCAAAATTAAGGAAGAGCTCTTGGGTTCCGTGGATTATGAAGTCGGTCTCAGCATTGGTCACCTTGCATCCCTTTACAATTTCCATATGGCGAGATACAGGGATGCTGAGCAATTGTATCATCGCAGCATCGCCATCAATTTAAAATTATTTGGAGAGAGCTACAGTGGTTTGGAATACGATTACCGTGGTCTTCAACATCTTTACACTGAAATGGGAGAGTTTGATAAAGTCGATGAGTACCAAGACATACTGAATCTGTGGAAAGAGCTGAGAGATCAGCATGCAGAGTCCGAGGACCCACCAATCGATCTCCACAAACGTCCTGAGCCCATACAGAAAATTATAGACACGTTTTTCTCGGTGTAACTTCATCACAATGGAATATTATCTATTTAGATATCCACGGACACTTCGACTCAGTGCTGCATACTATTAAGTCATGAGCTGGTTTTTCTCGCACACGACTTGTATATTTGATCCTGAAGAAAATTCGGGAGCTCTAATCTGTTCATGTATAAAAATTATCGATTAATTATCCCAACTAACTTTCAGACCATTTAGTTAAGTCTCGGTATAAGATACGTAAAAACGATAATTAAACAATTCTTATCTTAAAGTATCTTATATGACGACTTAATGGTACTGACAAATGGACTTCACAAAGAATCATGTCACAAAGTGCGGCGCACACCGACTAGTTCCATCAATTCTATGTAATTTTTTAATGAATTAATTGGTTAAAGGATTACACAAAATTGCCAGAAAATTTGCTCCACTACCAAATTACACTAAAGAACGGAACAAATATATTAGAAATGAGAACATTTCAGAACTGATTGACTTTATCGATTCAATTTTCTATTCTTTCTATTTTATTTGTAATTGTAATTCTCTCTCGTGGTTGGTGAAATTACCTTCTGTTTGTTAAGTAGTCAATCTGGAACTCGTTAAATTCTTTACCCAATAACGGTAAAAATCTTGGATATGATTTTAATTATCTTATCATTGTTGTTCGAAATGTGGACAGATTAGTATAATTTTTATACGAAATAAGATACGATGCAACTAAATAATTTTTACTTTTAGTTCACGAGGTTGGCGAGTTTTATGAGCTAATAATGAGAGGATTGGAAGACATTGAATATAGGCAATTCCTGGAAAATTCAGTAATTCGATGGATCTCCACTCTAATAATAGCAAACTGATAAATCCTCGTCATTTATTCAGTGATAACTGAGGCAAATGAAAATAAAATAATAATGACGATAAAGAGGGCTTGAAGATAGGGTATGAAAAATCGAGAGGATGAAAAAGTCACTTATGGTGGACGTTTGTAGATAGCTATTGTAATTTCAATTAAATAAATGAAGAGAGAAATAATAGGAGAAAAATTAGAACATTTCATTGAGATTTTTTTGTAAATATCTCAGGAAGGAATGGGCTTAGAACAAAATGGTTCTTCAATTTTTTTGCCAGAACTGTAAGAAAAAACCAGTTCTTGCAGAAAAAAATACTCTGTTAAAACCAATTTGAGTCGACAGCTTTCCTCCGAATGGTATGTAATTCTGTTTTTAGAAATTTATCGAACATTGTATATTTGTATTTTGATAAGAAACAGGAGTGGAAAATAGAAAAACAGAGAGAGTTGCGGTGAAATACTACATCATAATTTTTAAGACCAAAACATTCTTTAAATGGAACATAAAAACAAGTTTTTTGCATCAACCGGTAGACTCATTTTTTTAAGTTTAATCTAGTAATAGTTTCGGCGTTTCTGCTACAATTTATCCCACCAGTCTACCTGGCAGGAATTTAAACTCGATATATGGCGCATGTAGGACAACGAACTTACCCATTGCGCCAAAACACCGGAAATTACTTATATTTCAAATGAATATTATATGTTGAACGTGAAAAAATCGTACTGTACATATCCTTCTTTTCCTATTCAATCCAAAATCCCATTCAACGATTTCCTGTGACATCACAAGATGTGGTACCCTATATAAATTTTCTTTTTCGTTCTGTATTCCCCCCAATAATCGAGCTGACAAGTGTCTTTGAATTTATGTAGTGTAATTAATTTGGCTTTCATTCAAGATATTTTTTCCCGGGTGAATAACTCCAGGTATCTCAGACAACAAATCAAAAAATTGTACCTCTCGGTGTTTCAACGGTTAAACGCTTTTCATATTAAAACACTAATTCGGTCGTTCCCATTGAAAAGCTTTAATATTCCATCATTGAATTACAATGAACACGAATGTCATACACAAGTTCAATAATTTACAGAAAAATCGGAAAGAGGAATTAATTACTCAATTAATTAATCAGACTAGCAAAAAACAAATTTTATCAATTTTCAAAACATCTCATTGAACACGAGAAAAACATGCTAAAAAATTATGTTATTGAGCCCAGCGTTTAATTTATTTCTCTTTAAAATTTAACATATTAACATTCATTTTCCGCGAATCTGTATATTATGCACATTCTGTTGGCCCCAATAACATGAATCTTAAGTAGTTCTCCTTTCAGTGACTTTTACAATCATTGTTTTCAATATTTTCTCTTTTTCATTATTGTTAAAATATATTTCTGCAGCCAAATGGTGAAAAATCTGCGAGACTGTGAAAATATTTCCACTAATTCGCAAATATTTTCAAAACTGGATTCAGAGAGAAATGTCACACTCCTCTCAATGCATCTACAGTTTAAATCCGATATTCATAATCCTCTACCTTCCACCGTTCGATTTTACTCTCGAGAAATATAATTTATCCTCCCTTCGCGATACAAACATTTGAATTTTATAATACAACCACTACCGAGTCACTTGCACATGATTTTTCTACTCAATTTTGTTTGAAGTTACCACCAAAATTGCAATTGCACATTTTTGGTGAATGTTTAAGAATCTTTTGTGTTATTTATTCTATCTAAAAAAATATCAAATAACAACGATAAGATTTATCATCAAGTTTAGACACAAACTATTAGTCTGGTGTGTGAGGTGGTTCTTGACTGAAATATGGGGCTGTATCCGGAACAAGTAAAGTATGGCAAACCCCACAGACACGTGATGGCCTCTGTTTTGGACCACTATTTACAACATGTGTCAAGCAATTTTGACAGAATATATGCCCACAATGGCGGCAATGTACCTGTAAACAAAGAATATGTCTCATAATCTTCCTGCCAACATAAAAATTTTTAAACCAATTATCGATACAATTCCTAAAAATTCTTAATAATCGTTTAGTAATCACCCTTTTCTTTCCAATTGTGAAAGCCACGTGACAAGTTGGACACTCATCAACATCTTCTTCATGCTGCCATCGTACTTCACTCCCAGACTCCCTAATTTTTTCCAGTTGAACCTCAATAGAAAACAAAAAAAAAAATCACGATTACAGGATAAAGAAAAATCGACGTTCTCTTAAACACAGATAAAGTGATACTTAAATACCTGCAAAGATTGAGACAGCCTCACGAAGTCCTTCTGCACTTCTCCGCTGGTGTCCAAGACCTTCTGCAAATTGGTGACCCTCTGCTTCAATTCAGCAATAGTGGTCTCTCCCTCCTGCTTGTCCTTCAACGCCTCCTCGAGTTCCCTCTCCAGACTCTGCAGCTTCATCTCTTTCTCGGTAATCATCTGCTCCCTAAGTAGCCCCACTTCGTACCTCAACGTAGACTCTTTCTCCTGAGCCACCTCCTGTGCGACTCTCGCTGTGATCAAGTCTTCCCTCATCTTTAGCAGACTCAGATGAAGCTCCTCCACATTATTCGGCATGTTAATACTCTCAGATTGCAGCTGTTCAGAATGCTTGCTGTATTTTCCCACGAGAATCTCATTTTCCCTCTGAAGCTCCATAAGATGTTTCTGGACCTCTTCTCTTCCTATCGTCAACTTCCTCAGCTCTTCCGTAACAGTCTGATAGGTCTGGAAAAACTGCTGTTTTAGTTCCTGGAGTGTCTGCTGGGCCAATTGTGAAGCTGCCGTTAATTCTGTCACTTTCATCTTATGCTCCTCTTTCTTCTCATTCCACTTTTCCTCCATTCCTTTTCTGAATTCAACCTCTTTGCAGAGTTCCTCCCTTTGGGCTTGGAGGGCTTTATCAGACTCTGCTAATTTTTTCTCAAAATCTTTAGCTGTTGTCTGCATCTTCACCAGTTGAGCCTCGTAATTCATGCACATGTCGCATGTGTTCTCGTTATCCGGATCCAAACGCCTTTGAAGCTGTTGATTTTGCTCCTCTTTACATTTTTGAAGCTCGTCATCTGTTGAACGTAACTTCTCCTTTAGAGCTTTTATCTCCTCTTCAAGAGGGACCACAAGTGATCTTAAGACTTCTGCATCCTCCTGCGCCTGGAATAAGAGTTTAAAATTCAAAGTAATTGTAGGGGGTGAATAAATTCGTCGCCGCTATTTTTTTTCTGTTTTAGAGTCCTGGAAGCTTTAAAATCAGTTAATACAGTGCCATTAATATTTACATTCTTATTTTACATGAAGTCTTTTATGGGTCACTCATTTTTATCATGTTCACAAATTCATACAAGCCCAACCGTGTCAATTCGATCAACAATTGGTCAAAAAAATTGAATTGATATGAAGAATATTGATAATAAGAAAAATAATGAAAGCAATATTTAATGAGCGTGCAATCTCAAGCATACGTACATATTTCTTTACCTTCCTCATGCTCTCCTCGAGATTTTCAGGGCCTAGAGAAAGAGCATCGGCCCCCAATTGCGATGCGACCTTTCTTGCCAAAGTTTTTGTGACATGTGACAGAGATATTGGCGGACCGTCCTGCGGTGCATCCTTGACAATCTGTGACTTGATCATTGAATTCTCCTCCTCTAATTTTGTTATATAAGCCCGCAACTTCTGAACTTCATTCTCCAACTGTTCACGAGTACAGGCGGACTCCTCCATCGTGTCCTGAATCACTTGTTGGAGTGATGCAATCTCCTGCTGAGCCTTCTCCGTCTCTAAATCAATATCAGACTCAAGGCGAAGGTTGGCGACAACAAGCTGACTCTTTGCATCGTCCAATTCGTTCTTGAGTTTTGTCACTAACTCTTGAAGGTCTGTATTCTCTTTGGATCGTCTTTTCAGTTCTTCTGCAATTTTAACATGTATTTTTCTCGACTCGTGGGGATAATGATATACTTGAATGTCATGATGTTATCAGGCCAGCATTGTCATTAGCATTAATGCAGTGTTTCTCTCTTCGTGAAGCTTACCTTCTTTCTGGAGAAACAGCTCTTTCATTTTTGCTCGTTGTCCATTGAATTCTTCTCGCATGTGGGCGTTTTCCAACTTTAACCTTTCAATTCTTTTCTCCATGTTTTCTTCTGCTCCATAAATATTGGATAATGAAAATAAATACATAAAACCCACTGGTGATTATAATCATGCAAATGGTTGGAGAACTATTTTATTCTATTGTTATGAACTTGCTGTGATGAGGAAAATTAGAAAAATTGTAGACTCTAAATATAAAATAAGACGGTTTTTTTTAATGTAATCAGTTTTTTATTTTATTGTCCACAGGAATTATTAATGAGAGCAGATTTGAAAATATCGAATTGATTATAAAAAAAAGGAAGAGGCTATTAAAATTAGTAAATTGGAATATCCTTTCAATTTTTGTCTTGAAAATCTAATTGACAGAGAAATATAATGAAAATTTCTATTTATCAGCTCCAAACGTAGAATGAGAGGGCATTCCGCAATTGATTAATTATAGATAAGTTGGAATTGACCTACTTACGTAGAAATTCATAATTAACGATTTAAAATGGTATATCTTGATGGATTGGAAATCAATTGAAAGGGTATAGCATAATAGTGATGAAACAGAATTTTAACACAGCGGTAAAAATTTTTTGCTCCCCATTCAAATGACTTTAAAAAAGAAACTGATATTTTCTCGTACAAATTATTCTCTTTTGAAAGAAGTGAATTCAGTCTCTTTCTGAAAGAAGATTGAGCCCTGAGCCGAGCTGAGAAGATTTAACGATTACATGAACATCGACAAGTTTTTATAATAAATTGAAGCAGAATTCTTAAAATAAATATTATATGAACTACTATTTTATAGGAGTTTTATAATTGCTTCTGCTTCGGTAATCTCATCGAATCGCTTTGAAATCTAGAGAAACCAGTGAACCGGAATCGTCTAGTTTGATGGATTAGAAATCACTTTGAAGTATGCATTTCAATAAAAAAAATTCAGAGTGAAACTGGCAGAGGTAAATAATATATCGAAGAATAAAACTTTCTAATAAAAATTAGCATATTAATCCATATCGTGATTTTATGCCGCATTTTACGTTAAAAACCTCAAACACTGACAATAAAATCGATAATAAATAACGCTCAATGATAGTAAGAGGAGAAAATCAAAAAAAAAAAAATGAACACAATGATGGTTGAATGGTGAAATAATGGATGAAGAGTAAAATTGTACGTAGAAATTTGGAATGGCTCAAGTAAAGATGTAAATTGGAGGAGGCAATGTCAAAGATCATTGAGTATTAATTTCTTTCGACATTTGCAAGTTGATACAATCATGACATGAATGACAACAAAAAATATCGTCGGTGAATAATTATTTGGATATTTGATGACAGAATGAAAAAAAAAAACATCTGTACCGTCAGAGTCTTCCATTGGAGTCTGATTCGCCTGATTGTTCTCCATCTGAACCTGATAAATTAACACGCGAAAATAATTTCCTTGTCACAATGGAAAAATTAAGGCGATTATTTAAGTCGAGAATTTATCACGAAGCACCGTTGATATGTGGTGTAACTCCACATTGTTTAATTATTGTCAATAAGGAGTGGGTTATGCACGATGTGTCATACCCAGACCCAAATGTGGGGTTTTAATTATGACGATGAGATGTAATTAATTCGTCGATTTTTATAGCTTGATAAAAATATTTAATTGATAAGTTATTGGGAAACCGTGATTCACACACATACTTGATAACTGAAATGACATGGATGTTTTTGAAAATTAGTGGAGAGGACAGGATTTTTGAACAATCGATTGGTTATGTGAGTTATTGTCGATTTTGCCGACTGAGACACCGTTGTGTACAAAGAGGATTGACTAAAGCAGAGGCTAAGTTCTGGGGGTTTGAGTGACCCCACAGGCATTGGAGTATCTTACCCCAGGAGAGAGAGGGCGCATCACGCAATGCGCTGGCATGTCTGCCCGTCAGCCGGTAACTGCCTCAGTAGAATTCCCGCTGTCAGAGAGACCAGTCGACGAGGTAAATGTGATTTTCTGCGTTACGAAATTGTTCTTTTTTTTTTTATTATAACGCAGAAAGTAACATTCACCGCTTCGACGTGTTCCTTTGACAGCGATACTGGTACTGAGGCGGTTACCGAGTCAGCTGACGGGCAGACACCCCACCATTGCGGGTGGCCCCCTCTCTCCTTTGGGGTGGGGGACTGCGCGGCCAGTGGGGTCACTCAAACCCCCTCTACTTTAGTCAATCCTCTTTGCTCAGTGCTGGGGGTTTGAGCGACCCCCACCGGCATCGTAGTACCCCACCCCAACGGAGAGAGGGGGCCACACGGAATGGTGGGGTGTCTGCCCGTCAGCCGACTCAGTAACTGCCTCGCTAACGGCCGCAAGACATCTCAGTCAGTGCGATAAAAATCGTATCATCATCACTGCCTCGGTAGCAGTCCCGCTGTCAGAGGGACCAGTCGACGGGGTGAATGTCATTTTCAGCGTTACGAAATGAGGTTTTGTTTTTTATTATAAAGTTTCGAAATTTTATATTTCAGTGGATACCTCCTCCAATTTTCATGCTACCCTGATACCTTTTTGAAAATTTTGAATTTTTTAATTTCAGTGAATACCTCCTCAATTGTCATGCTCCCCTGATACTTTTTCAAAAAATTTGAATTTTCACATTTCAGCGAATACCTCCTCCATTTTCATGCTCTCCTGATACTTTTTCAAAAATTTCGAATTTTTTAATTTCACTGAATACCTCCTCAATTGTCATGCTCCCCTGATACTTTTTCAAAAAATTTGAATTTTCACATTTCAGCGAATACTTCCTCCATTTTCATGCTCCC